ATCCTTTTTTGTCATTTGCAGTTTAATTGAGGTTTACTGTAGCAGTAAGTGACTGTGGACTGACTAGGGGTGGGCAAATGTTTCGAATTGTGAGCCACTTTGACTGGGCACTGTAAAAGGTCGTACCTGCTTCTTCTGGATATAGTGCTGTGGGTCACTTTTTTAATGAACTGTATTATCATACTTTAATAATGGAATATACTTTGAAATATTCAGGTAACAAATTTTATTTAAATTTCACAATGAAAGCTAGTCATGGTTCTAGTATAAATTTAAATAAATCATATTATCATTTGTTTAAAAAATTTATAGATCTCCATTTAAAAAAAATTCACCAACTGTTTTTGCAGGCCAGCAATTGTTATGAAAGGCTACATGAGTTCTGCAGTTTCCCCACCTCAGACTTTATGTAACCATTCTTGATTTTCTTTTTTTTTCTTTTTTCACAGGCTGGTGCGAACCTGATAGTTTCTGGCAGTGCGCTCGTTGGTGCCTCAAACCCTAGAGAGTGCATCTCTTACATGAGAGGCATTATAGATTCCGGGCTGAAGGAAATCAACTCAAAGAGATAGCCAGCTTCTCAATGATTTGTCCAGGTGTTTTTGGCATATATATGCTGGGTAGTTTATATGTAACTTTTCTTTTCATTTTCTTTTCTGCTTTAGGCTCTGTTGCTGTTCTCAAATTGATTCTTTTTTGCTTTTTGTTTGTTTGTTTCAATTTTTGTCTAGTTTCACTTTGTTTTTGCTCTTTGCTCTCAAACTTTTATGTTTCCTCTTCTCGTCACTTTGCGCAAATATAGACATTCCTACAGTGGATTCACACTCAATCACACACTTGTACACACACTCGTACACATGCACTCCCACTGCCATATATAAATATGATAAACTCTCAAACACCCTTTGGGAAAGGGTTGTTTGTTGGCAAATTCCCTTGTGTGGTTTGCTCTTTTTTTCCTTTCAAACATCAGTCTTCCTTATCTCTCTTTCTTTTTTGTGTTTGTTACTCTCTTGTAACGCTTCTAATCTTTGGCACTTATATGACCTAATTATGTTACAAGTGCCGAAAAATACTTACTTAAATAAAAGCACTTCCTATTAAATGTCTATCTTTCTTATCTTTCCTCCTTTTCTGTGTAAATCAAACTTGAGTAACAACACCCCTAATTTTCAGTACTTATCTGACCTATTTGTGTTTCAAGTGCCTCAAAACTCATTCAACTTTGGGAAGCGAGCAAGGGGGGGGGGGGCACAAACACCCACTCACCTTAGCACATACACACGTTTGTTTTGTTCTTCAATTATATTTTTTACTATACTTGCCTCTGTTGTTCGTGTAATGTTTTATAAAGAGAGAAAGCGTTCTAAGCCTTGTGGTAGTTAAAGTATTCAGTAGATAGACCTTGTTGTTTAACACCGATTTCCTGTCCTCTTCACCACGAAAGGATTTCAAATCCTTCGTTTCTTTTTTCTCACCCTCTGTACTCTGCGCATTTCAACTTCCCTTAATGCCAAGAAGTTCTCTCGTCATTTGAAGTTTGCGTCATCAGGGTTTTACTGTGGCTCTATAGAAATAGGAAAACCCACCATCTACGCCTGACTGCAGGACAGTTTTCCTCTCTCTGCCTTCCTTTTGATGATGATATATTAAGTGCGGAGTTTTCTTACCTGTGTATTTGTTTTCTTGTGAAGATTTTTTGTGGTGTTTATGTCGTTAAGAATTTTCAGCAACATTCTAAAATTGCATTCTAAACCATGACTGAAGTGTGTTTGTGTATATTGCGTGATAAGATGGCTTGTGCTTGTTTTTATGGCTTCCTTTGTTTGTTATCAATTTTACAGCTTGAAAGAGCTAGAAATATTGTTGGCATGAAGTCAAGACACAAGTATCTCAACATCTGTGCCATAAAAGTATCAGTCACAATGTGTGTATCTGGCAAACTTTAAAGGCAGTCTGTAGGAGTTATTGCAAAATGATTTGAGTGTGGTTTCCAGCTTCCGACAGGATGTTGTATCCTCGCCTGTTAGCCATTTGCTTGCAAGGTTTTCTTCAATTCAACCAACTGTAAATGGACCCTTGACAATCAGTAGAGGCGGATTGTATGAATAAAAATGTTATGTGCATTGTTGACTCATGTGAGCCTTCCGTTTAAGGAGGAAATAACAATTCTATTGAAAAAATAGGCTGTTTTACTTTGACTTTAACCGACTAGCATTATGTTTACTCTACTTTTCCGATCCAGTGACCCTCTGAGTTTTACTCCTTCGGTCTGGATGTGTACTCCAATTTGAAATTTTTCTCGGCTCATAAATTGTGAAAACTCAGACTAGACAAGCTGGGCAAATAATTCATTAATTGATCGTTCTTTCTCGTGGTGAACTAGCAGTGGGATTTTAGTTGCCGGGGGGGGGGGGGGGGGCGAGCGCCTTATCACGTCAGGGTCACGGTGGGGGTCAGCTCGTTGTCGCCGCTCTGTCTTGGCCGACCTAAATTTAATCAGTTCAGCTTCACTGTTCACAAAAATACACTGCGTACAGCGCATCGGCAGTGGGATTTTAGTTGCCGGGGGGGGTTCCCCACCGAGCGCCTTATCACGTCAGGGTCACGGTGGGGGTCAGCTCGTTGTCGCCGCTCTGTCTTGGCTGACTTTTTGGGGTACTTTTCAGCTTACAGTTTAAGGTGTATCCTTGTATTTATGGTAATTATCACTTAATGCACCCAAAGCAGGCTTTTCTGCTCTTGACACTCAAAAAAGAACGGGCATTGTAACTTGTCTGGTTATTTCATTCGATTGGTTGAAGTCAGCAATGCTAAATTGTAAAACATTTTTTTGACAAGTGTGAATGGAAAAAAAATATTTTAAAAAACGGCACAACAAAACTTGTCGAACTTTTGGAACATGAACGACATAACATTGGTGCAGATGCTCAGAAAAGATGGTATCTGCGCATATAATAGAAAGCTCTAATTTTGCAACTTTATCCGTCTGGAACACAATTCGCTATGAAGCAATTCCTCCAAATACAACTTTATGTGTCTAATAAAATCATGAATATTCGCATATTTTCTTGAAAGTTCATAAGAATTACTCTGAAGTCTCTCTATGAAAAAGTGCAAACCGATTTTAGTGCCAGAATACATCTACAGTGAGGACTGAGATGACTTGTGGCTTCAGCTTTGGCCAACGAGTATGAGACCAGTGGTGGAAGAGAATTTGAGCATTCAAAAGCTTAATTTCCACTTGTGGAAGTGACAAGCCTACAGACTTCTCACTCATCTTCAGCATAGCTTGATTTATGATTTGATTTATAGCTGTGTGTATTTATTTGTTGACATTCTTATACAGATAACAGCCAAAAATGGTTCCAATGCTGTATATATATCTCATTCTCAACCCCTTCGTGATATAAGTTTTTAAAAATAGCTTTACTAACCAGAATCGTTGGCAGTTTCCATCATTGTGTTGTCCTTTTCAAAATTTTAAGATTTACTTTATTCCTACACTTTAGATGTTGCTGATTTTGAATCTTTCAATAGTTTTGCTCTGGTAAAATTCCATTTAAATTCCAAGCTGTTTGCAAAACAGTTATAAAATTCTGTATGGTGCATTTTAAGATGGTCATTGTATGGGAGGCCCCGGCATTTTGGCTTTCGACGTTCGACGTAGGATGTAAAGGAGCTGTCACAAAGGGGTTAATATTGCAGAATGTGGTTCTCTGTCTTTAGATTGCATGATACTCATGAACTTCACTATGATAACTTTACCGGGCGCACTTTTGTGTGTGTGTGTGTGTGTGTGTGTGTGTGGTTGGCAGGTTCTCTGGTGTTGTTTGCTCTTTCTTTCCTGTCAAACATCTTTCATCCTTCTTTCACTCGATTGTTGCCAAGTCAGTAGAACACCTATAGCCCAACTCTTGAATGATCTGAATTGTGTTGCTGGTGTAAATTATGTTTATTTGGAAGTCTTTTCCGACTTTTCACAAAAGTTGTTGTTGTTCATGAATACGGCTGTTTTACAGTACTACCTTGAAATCCATAATCTGAGTCTTTCTATGTGTACGTGTGTGGGGTAAAAATTGGAAAAGATGATAAGACAAGAATTTGTCTTGTGTTGTTCTAGTCTGTGTCATTTGAAGTTGTAACAGACTAAATACGTATTTTGTTAAATGATTGACATAAAGTAGAGAGTGGTACCCCTTGCAGAAACATTAGGCATTATTAAAACATATATATATATATCATATCCCACAGCTCTTTTTAATTTTTTGAGTCTGTTTGTTTCCTGTATTGAAGATAATGTTCCCTTTCGTGTGTAATGTTTCATGGGTTTTGGACGTCCTATGATTAATATGTTCACTTGGGTTACAGCCACCCTCTTTCACCTCCTATTTTATTTCCTACATTTATGACATAAATAGCTGCACGTACTTGCAGCTCCAAAACAAACTGATGATGAATTGGCATCTGTAGTGTAGTTGCTAGACTGTTGCATTCAGAGGGCATAAGTTTGATTCTCGTGTGGGGATGATTTTTTTTTCTTTTATTATTGAGTACCGGTATCTCTGACTGTCTGTTGGGATGTTGTCGTTGTATCCTTCTCAGCACAAGTTGGCTCTGATAAGCAGGTTGGAAAAGCAGCCTGCCTCCCTAATGGTCTAAATAGTGTTGATGGAGGCGTAAAATACACACAATTACAATTATTACTTGATGTTGACCCATGTTATTTTATGTTATGAATAAATGACCTTAAGAATTTGTTACAAAGTATAAAGAGTGTTTTTGAGAAACTAACAAGAATTTCGATTCATTTTATGTATATTGTGTCTATACGTCTGATGTAAATGTCCCCCATTTTGTTCCGCAACGCATTTTGGGCAGCTTCTGATCTCAGTTAGGCTGTCTGAAGTTGATATAATCACGAGAGACTTGATTAGATTAAAAAAAAAAAAAATAGGACGGGACTTCTTTGGTGTCTATGACACAAGAATAAAACATGCGATTGAAATCTTTGTGTTGTTTTACTTTGTTTAATGAGGTTCCCCCTCTTTTTGTTGTTGTGAGTTTTATGTAATAACTGGACAAGACAGGGAGCGGGTGGTTGGAGGGCCCCACTGGAAGGTCCTGTTTCTTTTCTATCCCTCTGTTGTTTCTGTCTTTTATGTCCTGCTAGTAAACTTTTCCTTCACTTAATGACTCTGAATGTGTGCTTCTTTTTATTTGGACAAATACAATAACTTATGAATAAGGAAATGCGTGGTTGGCGGGTGCTCTGGTATCGTTTGCTCCTTATTTCCTATCACTATCAAACATCTTTCTCATCCTATATCTCTTCTCCTTTTCTTTTTTGTGTTTGTTACTCCCTTGTAACACGTCTAATTTTTGTCACTTGTTATGTGACCTTATTGTATTGCAAGTGCTGTAAAAACTCTAACTAAACTAAAAAACAACAACTGTACTACAATGTCTTTTAAAAAAAATTAGCAAGCCTATCAGATTAACTCACTTGAGACTAAACTGTTTTTCACCCAACAACCATTGCAACCTGACAGTTTTTGCGTATTTAATCGTTGGCCACAAAAAAGCTATCATGATTTTAAAAATGCAGCAAAAGTAAAAAAAGAAATGCTCTCACTGAAAAAGAAAACCGCATCTTATTTGTCCCAATAGTTTTTATTCTATCAATATCAATGCTTTGAAATGGTAATGTCTGGGGTTACGCAATTTTTTCTGCGCCCAATTTATACCTTTGTCCGTTACAGCTCAAAAAGTATCACACACAACTACACAAACTTTTTAACGAAACGGAGCAAGTGGGTAAACTGTTGGCTCGCCGCTTCCCGTAGCTTGTAACCGAAAAAGCAATGGAGATATCGGTCGATAAGACGTGAGACATGTAGGCCTATTAATTACTTATGTCCTGTCTTGTCGTGCGTTTGCATGAATGCACCTAAGCTTTGTAACATATA